TGGAACCAAAATTAAAAAAAAACATACACAAAGGCTAGAGGTTCCTGACCTGGGACGGGCGCAAAAATGCGGCGGGGTTAACATGTTTTGATAGATCTCATGTTAATTGTCGAAACAATGAAAACGGGGAAAAAAACAACGAACTAGTTTATGCTAAAACAATAACAACAAGAAAATAAATATTTCAGACAGCAAGAAACGACAACCACATAATCACAAGTAATTTGTTCCTGACTTAAAACAGAAATATAAACCGTGGCATGCGGCGGGGTTAAACATGCTTGTGAGTGCTCAAATCTATCTTAATCCCACTGAACCTGGGGCAGTGGTATAAAAGCACAACACAAGACCAAACTGTTGAAATTAGTAGGAAAAGGCTTCCTTGTCAGATGGGCACGAAAAAACTATCTACAGAAGACAAAAGATCTGAAGATAAATTATCTACCAGTACACATCCACATACATATAAAAATAAAGAGATGTGGTATGATTGCCAATAAGACAACTATCAACCAAAGTTCAAATGAAGTGGACGTAATCAATTATAGGCAACCGTTCGGCCTTCAACAATGAGAAAAATGCATACCGTGTAGTCAGCTATAAAAGGCCCCAACATGAAAAATATGAAACTATTCAATTGAGAAAACTAACGGCCTAATTTATAACAAAACAATTTACGAAAAACAAATATGACAGACATTAACCAACAACAGTCCATTTAACTCGAGGAATTGTGCTGTTATCCTCACTCAATGTATACTGTTAAATTCAATAATTATGAACTGTCAATGGATGTTTAAAATTAAATAAAATGACAGACATTCCGAATTCTCGAGGTACCCGTTTTATATATATATATATAAAAGAACCGTAAGACAACGGCTTTTCGGCCAATTATATTTGAAATAGTTGAACTAAAATTTCAATTACATTTCAGTCAGTTTGATGCTCAATTCATTTTGAATAAGAAAATCTATTTTTATTTATATGCATTTTTCATTTACCAATTTGGGTAAAACATCTCATGCCGTTTCAATGTTTCAACTGGGACTAATACACTAATTCAGTAGTCCCAGGTTTCAACAAAGATCGAATAGGAACTCCGGCCTTCAATTAATTTTACAAATTACACCAAAATACAGAAAACATGATTCAAAATTATTTTATCGATAACATCTGGTATTGGTTTTCACTGAAGTTATCTTTACAGATCAGCGGGTGTTTAACCCCTTAATTGTGCGTCTTATCGCATATGTCAAATTGGCAAGTGACCCCATATGGAGCGAGGACGGGTTATCGTCCTTGTCGATACAAATAATTGTTTTCAAATTGGGTTATCTCCCTTAAACCGGACAGATTCTTGGCAATGGTTGATGCTATGTACCATAAATGCACATATTTCAAATTATACGCTTGAACAAATAACTTAAAAAAAATTTATGATTGTATTTGAAATAATTGTAAATCATCATGGTTACCGGGGTAGACAAGACTTATGCATTATATACATGCAGTGAACTATTGGTCCCAGCTTTTATTCACAAACAGTGCAGACTCTTAGGGCACCGACCATTTACTTTGTTAGTGTGTGTGTATGATGAGGGTATTTTCTTTCTCTCTGGTCGAACATTTTTTCAACTTTAATTAAAAATAAGTTATTTAACCAATGTTGTTTTAATATTTTTTTCAATAGAGACAAGCTGTATTTTCACCTCCCTTCCGAAACAAGTTATTTTCATTTAAAAGTACGCACCCCCTAGCCCTATCTTCTACAACACACACAAACGATCTTATATGATCGGGTGCTTAGCGAATTGAGGACTCAATCGACTCTGTAATATAGATACAATGAATAAGCGTTGATTCTTGAAAAAGAAACCATGAGCCCGGAGGTTTAACAAGTTTTAGCAAACTTGAAGTATGATAAAAATGTATCTACTAAACATTTGGAATAAGCACTCAGAAAATTTAGAATTATACATTTGTAGGTAAAAACCATGATGAAATTTGATATAAAAAACTAAGAAATTCATTTTAAAAAATTAGCACTAAAAAATAAGAGTATGAGCCACGATATAAGATCACAACTAATTGGTTAGAAAAATACAAATATAACACAACACATCTGCCTTTAAATTATCAGGCATCTGAATATTATCTGTGTTTACAAAGTAAGACATATTCGAACTTATTTCTAATAAAATTGAGAATGGAAATGGGGAATGTGTCCTAATTCTAGGCACATCACGATTTACTCGCATAGGAATTTGCGAATAAACATTTGTAAAATTATGTAGTAAAACAGATGAAATCTTACTATATTTATAAAACAAAAATGGACAAATTGAATGTAATCATTTCCGTTTCAAACATGTGAAATAGCCAATAATAAAAAAAAACGGTAAAATTCGCTATTATTACAAAAATATCCACAATTACATGTACATACAAAATAAGAAAAAAACAGAAAAACTAAAGAATGGGGATAACAAAGAGAATACAGGGATTCGAACCTAAACCGACAAGTCCATACCTTTAACTTAACTCTTTAACTCATTGATCTTAACCATGCTAACATCGCGGCTACCAACCTATACTATGCGATTGCTTATTATGTATATATAAAGGTACAAGCCCTGTGTGTCCGTTGTACCGATGTATATCATATGTTCATTTATATATATAAAATAGACATTTAAATTGTAACCAATTGGTAGCCAAGAGGTTTCGTCGATATGTTGATGTCAGTCACACATAATAGATTTCAAGGACGGGTTCGATTCCCAGTGAAGGCATATAAAAATTAAAAAAATTAAAGGCAAGTTTTTAAATTAATTCCATTAGTGAACAGAAATCAGTAAATTAGCTAATTCAAACTTAATGAAATTAGGCACACAAAGGAAACAATTGAATATAATTTGGTGAATCCATTTCAGCGACAGATTTAGAAAGCGTTGATTCTAGAAAAAGAATCCATGGTAAATGAATAGTCTGACGTCACGACAATGGTTTAAATAAAGAGAGACAACTCAAGTTGTTCTCATGAAGAATTTTACTTTTTCCATATTTATATCGAAACATGTATTGCTATAACAGTCCTTTTGAAAAACAAAGAAAATCAAAAGTCTCTACATTTTTTGTTGAACTGGAAATTCAGACTGTGAAATCCTTATTTTTCGATTAGACTGGGTCTCCAGATTTGTTTCTTTTTAAGATAACTTTCAAACATTGTCAAATATGCCATTTAAGTTTTGGAAGACATGTATAAGGTGTTTAACGATCCTTTATCTCACATGTCGTCAAATTAATTGATATTTTATTCCCTGCTTATTCGGTCAAACATATTTTCCGGTCAAATGTTTACATAATATTGATTTGGGAATACATGGATTTCTTTAACCGCTTTTGTTAAAAACAAATCAGACTCAGACTTCATAAAACGTCACCAGTGTCTGAGCAGAAAGTTGATGAACCAGGGCTATATCAAAGAACGTCTAGTCCTTTTTTCTATAAAAAGTTCATCGGAAGATACCAAGACATTGTTGATAAATAAACAAATAATACACGATGGTCTTGAAGTCATATTCTAGGTATTGACGTTGTTTATCATCTTAATTACGTGTTATAGTGTTCTTTTATTTGTCTTTGTAAATTATTATCTACTGTTTATTTCATTTTTCAATGTGGTAATATCCCTTTGGCGTGGCTCGGTAATTATATATCCCGTCTTTGTGTTATTGTGCTATGGTCAATTTTTGTATTCTTGTCTTTCATTTTTACTTATGTGCTTTGTCTATATGTCATTTTGTTTTTCTTTGTTGACATATTTGTTTGTTTTTACACTGATAAAGATTAAAACATAATGTTGACTGCTGTACCCCTATTTTTTACATTTTTACCTATTATGTCCGTTTGTTTTGTTCACACATTGTTGTCAATATAATGGAATTTTATGCGACTGTCATACATGCAAGTGAGAGGTTTAGCTAGCTAAATCATTTTCTACATAAGGAAATGTCTGTACCAAGTCAGAAATATGTCAGTTGTTTTCCATTCGTTTAATGTGTTTGAGCTTTTGATTTTGCCAATTGATAAGGGACTTTCCTTTTGAATTTTCCTTGGAGTTCGGTATTTTTGTTATTTTACTTCTAACTGTCTTTAGTTTATAACAATTTTATTTGCTAAAAGATACAAAAAGGATCGGACACAAGTTTAACCAACTTCCTTTACATAATATTATAATAACAAGTATACAGAGCAAGCACAGCTCAGTTGATATATATTAAAGGTAATAGTAAAATGAGGCATTTGCACAGTGAAAAGAAAATTATTAAAAAAAAAGCCGAACACATTTAACAAGGAAAAGGATAGTGAATTGAGAAAAATGAAAAAAAAGAAAAAATAGGAAATAATACAATTATAAACAAAAATAAATGAATGAAATTCTGTGGATACGGTGTTTTTGTTTATTCATATCTTATTTGATTATACTACAAGGAATCTTTTTGATTTTTTTATATATTTAAAGACTTCTTTAAAGATTTCACAGTTTTCCTCGTATGTTAAAGTTTGGCTACCCTGAGTGAGCAATTGTAGATTTATTGTCACTAGAAAACGATGAATGTTGGTTAATAGAGATAGTTCCTTATATCGGGGTATTTATTGCGATTAAAGAAGAAATGAAATGAATCCTCACGCGGAGCGCCACTTCAAACTGTTAAATTAATAACCTGGAGAAATTATATAATTGCAACGAACGAGTTAAAATTTGTGTAATGTTTAGCTGCATGATGGAAAAATCGGATACTATAAGTTTCGTCCTTGAAAACACCGTACATGCATTGATAGAATGTAAACATTAAAATCACGCAAAAATCAGACAAAACTACCGTGATCAGAAAACACAAGCCAATGAAAACTCTTTCGGCTGAAATAAAGGTAATTGATTGGATAATAAATTGAATTGATCGTTGATTTCTGATTACGCCGGTATATACTGGTATGAACAACACATTGCTTTCATAATACTTTAACAAGCCAACACGATAGTTCATATTCACACGAATTATTTTGATACTACAGTCTATATTAAAGTTAACAAATTATAAAATGTCTTTGAAATTGGTTGACCAAACGATAGAATTAGAAACCATCGGAGGATTACACGGCCAATCCTTTTTAGACGTTGACGATGTTCGTCGATTATCTTTGTATACTACCGTACGTGGGGACGACTTGAAGGATCTCAAAAACTTCCATGGAAATGGTTTGAAGAAACAAAAAATCGGAGCCGGGATTTCTTTGCAAGATTTATTTTCGCCCCAAAAACAACTACAGTACAATGGTGATGAAACGATCGAAGAGAAGGGTTCTTCCACAGAATCCAAAATCGACCTAGTAGTGTGTGACCAATTAGGAATTGAATACACAGTCCAAGGGATCAGGAAACATGAATTTCCAGTCATAGGTAAATAACAAGTTTTACTCTTTTCGTTTTAAATTATTTTAGAAAGTAATTAATTTCTGTTTAAAAAAATATATGTATAGTAAGAAGGTATTTTAACTATATTCATGATATTGTAGAATACTATTAATCATTTTGATATTGTTATCTATATGGGGAGGGGGAGAGGGGGGGGTCATATATGAAAATAAGGCAAATCAAAGTAGACAAAAATATTGGATATGAATTGATGTTTTCTGTAAATAATTCAGTAAATTTTGAGAATTTCTGTTGCTTGGAAACCTGTTATTCAAAAAGTAAGTGTGGGTTGCAAAACAATAAAACTAATTGATAAACATTTCGAGATTATTGATTTTCATTAACGCAACAGTCATATCACCTTTTCATATTCTATTTTTGCCAATCCTGTCTGTCATGTCTGTTATTGACGTCAGTTAAATACAATAATTTTGTATAATTTGGTATTCATGTATTGCTTTCGTGTTATTCTTAAAATAAAATAAAAGTTCGGCATGCCAAATCAGATTGTATACTTATTTGGTAATTAATAAGGGAAGAAAACTGATATGTCAGTTCTCTCTATCATGTCTATGATTAGTGCACGCGTCAATAGTTACACGATAAGGATGATTCATCAATGGTTCAAGTAACACTGTACTCAGTGTATACACATAATTATGTGTGAAGTAATGCGGACTTCCTCAAGATAATTGAATCCATGTACATACCTACCATACCTTACATTAACCTTAATTCTCTCCGCGCCAGAAGTCGCATAAGGCCATATGATGGTATTAATTATTGTAATTGTATGAATTCAAAAAGTCCGAAAATAACTCAAAACACTTAAAAAGTGTTAAATAGACTAAAGGTCTATTCAATGAAAATGGTTTTCAACAAGCATGAACTCATATTAAATCTATCACGGTTGACAAAGGTCTTCTTAAACATGTTAAAGATCGAAAGAGGGATATCGTCCTGAACATGCATACAATATTTGTCACTGGACGTTAAGTAATCAACAACCAATCTTAAGGGGAATATAGTTGCAAATTGTCCACACGACAACAAAATACAGGAAAATTTAGAAACAAATGTAAAAATGATAATTAAATAAATCAGCGTATGGATGGTGAAAAAAATCACGAATAAGTCGAATGACAAATTGAGGAAGATTGAATTTCTTTAACTATTAGTCAAGTTATTTCATATTCATTGCGATAAAATGTAAATTATTTATATATATTAAACAAATCGAAAGGTAAGTTAAACGGAATATATATGAGATATTCGCCATTACATCTACCTTTCAAAATTTGTGGTTTTATCACAAAATATTCATCTATCAACATTGGTTGAATAGAATAAACTTGTGAAATGAAATATATTTCAATTGGTGATGAAATTTATACAATGTTTAGAATCCAGCTACACGTGAATTCATCCACTTCTATTTAGTAAACACTGTACCACAAACGACGTGTGGGTCATAGGCACTTGTCTGAGAATTTTTTTTCCTTTATACCTTAATATAACATAGGCACTTTTCTCAGATTTTTTTTCCCTTTATACCTTAATATAACATAGGCACTTGTCTCAGAATTTTTTTTCCTGTATACCTTAGTATAACATTAAGGTATATAGGGAAAAAAATTCTGAGACAAGTGCCTGTGGTGTGGGTTACTAACATAAAACTGTAGATGCCAATTGGCCTATGTCATTATTGTCAGTGCAGGATTGTCTGATTTGCCTCTGAATGGATGTCTCAAAATTTTAATCAAGGGAGATTACTTTATCTGTAGGTTCAGCGTTAACTCTCAATTTAGAAATTCCAATATCCCCCTCCCGTCCCCCTTATAAGACAATGATATTTGACCCTAAACGTAATGGCGATTATCATATATATCTCTTGATAAGTATGTATTCAAAGCTTTTAAAATATATTACATTGTGTATTGTTTATATACATTGATATCTACTGCATTGTATATTTGTGCCATGTCTTCACGAGATTTTCTTTTACAGTTGTCTCAAGTCTTTGGCCTGATGGCAGATGACCTTAATACATACATACTCTATATTTGAGTATAGTAAGGTAGTCCTATAAAGTATCTTACGCACATTTGATTATATATATTGTATTGTTTATATGATGTATTTTGTGTTTTAAACATGTCTTGGATAGGTGGAAAGGGGAGGTGTATATAACTATTTAGTGCAGTGACCAGGTTTTTAGGTGAGAAAAAAAATGAAAGATATGTTGGGATGTAATATTCTAATGTGGGTCGTATGGGCTTTGTATGATTTTATTTCTTATTAGTTAGTAGGGCAAGGCATACAAGTAATTGGGATTAGGGGGAGGAGATGTTATAGATATGTAATTTGTGTTCGTTTAAACTCTGGAAAACTGAGAAATTGGGAAATCTTGTTTTGGGTATAAAGGAAGAGGGAAGTGCCCGGGTTTAAGGGGTTTTACAATGATTAAATTTACAGCACAGCCAACGATGCCATATCTATTATTTGGATGATACCAAAGGTTCTACTTAAAGAATTGAGGAAAAAATGATATTAAAAGAGAGATAACTCTCGTATTTTTCTTTGTTGATTGGTTTTCATCATGGGGCTGACGGGGAAAGTACTTCGGGCCGTTCGCACCCTTTATGAGTATAATAAGTCCAAATTTGGCATAAAAAATGGTCAAAGAACTTTCTAAAACACCATTACAAATTAAACTGAAAAACCACATTAGTAGGTCATTTACACTTTTCTCGTTAAAAACATTCACACACACACACGCACACATCTATAGAGGCAGTACAGATTGATCTTTCAAAACACTACTCAAGAAAAATGTGACTTGTGAAAAGAAAGTGATGACATCTATAACTAAGAAGGTCAAACATATACTATTATTAGTCTGTCCAACGATGATATTTGATCCGAGATCCAAAAATCAATACTCCTAAATGTCAATTACGAAACAAGACATAACGCATCTGTCATGTCTGTTGAGGCCATCAGATTCATACGAAATGCAAAGAGTAAAAATAGTTAACAATGAAATTCTCAGTTACCGGCTTCGTAGTGAAGCTCATGACATGATTTAAGATGCTATCAGAATTGATTGTAAATAGATATTACTCAATCTGTAAACCTAAACAAAAAATTTTTTTACATCTACAAAATTATATTACAGTTTATAACAATGATCATAATATCCTCTCGATTAATCTTGAATGACTGAATTGGTTAATTATTGCTTAAGGCAATCTTTCCTGGGACCTTGATAGAATTATACCAACTTTTAACATATTAACAGATCCTAAATGAGTAATGAGCTACTGCCAAAAGAAATGAAATATTGTAACAAAACCTTGATCAAAATCAAATAATTATGTCTATAAAGTGTCGATATGATAACACACACCAGAACTAACTCGTTTTGTTTAAATTTTTATTTTCTTTGTACTCTATTGTAATACATTTATCTCAGTTACAGTTTTGGCTGTAACTGGTCACTGCTTAGTTTGTCTGACCATGGTCTTTATCTTTCAGGTTTCCATCTAGATAACAGAGTGTGTCCTGGGTTTACATACCGCGTAAGAGATCTAAGATCAGACAGAGAGGTATTAGAAGGGGAACCACGTGTGCTCCAATCGATCGGAATGGGATATGGAAAGCGCCTGACGTTCAAGGGAGATAAGCGGAATCTAAATGACTGTTACTTCTGGACAGATAACAACCCAGAAGGATACGGTTTCGCCATTAGTGTTGTTAGTAAGGGAGATAACTTCGTGATTTACGATTCACTCAATCAAAGTATCGGTGATGTCATTATTGAGTCAGTTGAGGGACCACAAGTCGAGGAGTCGATGACGTGTTGTAAGGGTGACGTAACTAAGATGGTTCGTGTACAGTTTACATGTTCAATTCGTTATCATAATAAGCTAGAACATAATTTATACGATATTGCCAACCAAGATTTACAATCATTGGATGGGTTGGTCGAGGTTACGAAATCAAAAAAGTCCAAAGAAGCTATGGTCATCTGTATCCGCGACGTAAATATTGCAAAAGTCGGGATGTGTACACTGTGGAATGATCTTATATAAACGTTCATATGAAGACATTGTAAACTTTCATATGATGAAGACATTGTAAACTTTCATATGATGAAGACATTGTAAAACTTTCATATGATGAAGACATGATTGTAAAACTTTTGAGCAAGTGGTGAACACTTAGACAAGACATTTCTCTTGAAATCTCGTGATAATCCGGTTGATATGTTGATATTGATTTAAAAAGAATCTGAACGCATATATGACGTTATAGTATTTTTTATTTTATTTGTTGCATTGTTAATGTTGCCTTTTTATATGTTACTGTTTATCCTTTTTATATAAAATACTTTTATTAAACTTTTGCTGTCTCTTTTTTTATACGCCCGTTTACGGGACGTATTATGGTATACCATTGTCTGTCTGTCCGTCCGTCGTGAACATGTCGGACATTAACTCAAAAACGCTTTACCCAATTTGCATAAAACTTTGGTGAATTGTTTATATTTATTGACGTGAGCTCCCTTTCGTTTTTTATAAATTTTAGATTTTACGTTTCCGAGTTATGGGGTTTTATTCATTAAAAAAAGGGGGATTTTCCAGTTTTCGGACAATAACTCAAGAATGCTTTCACGAACTTGCAAGAAATTGTGGTGAATTGTTTATATCTATTGACATGAGCTCCCTTTCGATTTTTATATATTTTAGATTTTACGTTTCCGAGTTACAGGGTTTTATTCATAAAAAAGGGGGATTTTCCAGTTTTCGGACAAAAAAACAAAAAATGCTTTCAGCAGTTCTTATGAAACTTTGGTGAATTGTTTATATCTATTGATGTAAGCTCCGTTTAGAATTTTATAAATTTTAATTTTACATTTCTGAGTTATGGGGTTTTATTCATTAAAAAAGGGGGGGTTCCAGTTTTCGGACAATAACTCAAAAATGCTGTCAGCAGTTCTCATGAAACTTTGGTGAATTGTTCATATCTATTGATGTAAGCTCCTTTTACATTTTCATAAATTTCTAATATGACATTGAGAATTAATTGAACTTTAATTGTTTATAGTCTGACAACAGATTTACTATGTATATTGCGCAACAGCACAGTGTATTGCACAACAGCAAGAAATCTTTAATTGAATATAAATTCAATTCATATAACCAATTTCAAGTTCTTTGACTACATTTATTCAGAAACCTATAATATGTCAAATATTTAATACAATCCAAATTCAGACCTGTATCAAGCTTGAATATTGTGTCCATTTTTGCCCCAACTGTTCAGGGTTGGACCTCTGCGGGCGTATCCAGCTGCGCTCAGCGAAACAGTTAATGCCAAATAGTGTACAATATAATGAATCAACCCCTCCAAAACAGCTTTCAACCAAGATCCCTGAAACTTTATTGAAAGATTGCGCATATGTTGAAGCTGTGTACCTGCTATTACATGTGAATTATTGAGGATTTTTTTCTCGTCTTTCCAGACTTTTCAAATATTTTAAAAATGTTAATTCTCCGTCGTTTAAGAAACATTTGTTTAAGAAAAAATCTTTGTAACCCGGTCATTTGAGTCTGTGATCTTTTTTAGTCCCCTACCGACGAAGTCGAAAGGGACTTTAGGTTTGCACTCCGTCCGTCTGTCTGTCTGTCCATCTGTCAGTCCAGCAAATCAGTTTTCCACACTTTTTTTCTTCGTGCTTGAAGATACTGATTTGATATTTGGTGTATTGTTTCATCATGACAAGTTACAGATCAAGTTCGAATTTTGTTCTGGTCTGATGATTTTGTGCAGAGTTATGGTCCTTGGACTTAGAAAATTCACTCTAATAATCAGTTTTCCGCACTTTTTTTCGTCATGCTTGAAGATATTGATTTGATAATCATGATAATTAGTATATAGTTTATCATAACACAGATCATTTTTTTTCGAATTTGTTCCGGTCTTATGATTTTGTGCAGAGTTATGGTCCTTGGACTTAGAAAATTCACTTACATAATCAGTTTTCAACACTTTTTTTTCGTCATGCTTGAAGATATTGACTTGATATTTGTTATTTAGTTTACACCATGACAAGTTATAGATCAAGTTAGCATTTTGTTCAAATACAATGAATACTCTCAGAATGCTTGTTCAAATCTAAAATCAGTCTGAGTCAAACTTTTGCAGGCGTACAGCAAAACGTTGTGAATGTGTCAAATGGCCCAAAAAATTGATGTATGCATGGATATGACGTTTTTTTTTTAAATTATAGAGTACCAATAATGAAATAACATCATATTCATGCATACATCTACAAAAATGAGAATCTGATAATTATCCTTAAATGACACTCGAATTATTTAGCAAGGATATTTGTATAATCATAACCTCAACAAGTCGAATAAACCACCTCGGTGGTCCAATTATAGCTCGCCTCTTAGTACGGGGTACCGTCCGGGTCAAACTAATGACTTGAAAAATGGTATTTGCTACTTCTCTATTAAGCTCGTTAAGTAAAGACTGGTCGGCTTGGATTCGGAGTAATACGACTGGACAAATGACATGTAGTTTTGCTGATGTTTACTCGGTTACCCTGTGCACTAGAACCTTAAAAATCCGCATGTTCTCTAATTGCTTGTTGCTATTTCGTAAAGCCACGTTCAGCACACTTACAATGTAGCTCTGTTGTGTTGTAGCGGTCTGTGACCGGCATTCGGAGTAATACGCCGTAGTGGGATTCGAACTCGCAATCTAAGAGTTGACGGACTATTGACCACTTTATATGAACTACGTAGACCACTTCAACCGAGGCCCTGGTGTAAAACTGGATTCATATTTATATCTTATCAATATATTCTCCTGATGTATTTTCCACTGTACGTTAATCACCAATCCATCATCATCGTTGTCAATTAAGAAAAAAGACAAATCTGAAGAACATAATAAATATGTGATTGCTTTGTAAATAATGATAAACACTGACTGCCAATGAGCATGGAGAATAAACAAATTTATGCATCGACAGGATATACTAAAAATATATATATATTCCATATATCAGGACTATATTTTATATTACTGGCTAAAGTGCTGAAAAAAAGAAATATAGTGTTGAATCTTCCATTTATATTAGAGAAAAAAAAACCATTAGAAGCTTTTTATACTGATTTATTTTAGAGAAATTTTAAAGTATTCCTGATAGTGTTACAGCATAACACATTTTGCCGAAATCTACCAATTTCCAGCAACTAAGTTTTCACAACGGTGTACCAAATGTGAAAACCTTTATTTAAGAAATGAAAGCTTCATTCGTAATTTTATTGGGATGTAAAAGCGTAGGCCGAAAGCGCTTCATACTAAAATTGTGTACACGATCAACGCTTTTACAACTTAATGAAATTACAAAAAGAATAACATTTACACGCTACAACTATAATCAAAGTACTGAAGAACTGAACATCGGATGACCGCAAGTTCTGGTGGATGATCTTAGAAAAAAATCACATCTCTATACCTGAAAGTTAGGTTATGGTACATAGATATATTTTTTTTTTCTGAGACAAGTTCCTGTGTGGATGATGAATAAATGACTGGGAATTTAACCTCACCGTAATAATTATTATATTGTAGAGATATTATACATTTATTTCCCGTGCCGGAGGGAGATATGAAGATTTGTTCACCCAAGAATATTCTTATTTCACGAGGGCTCTGCCCGAGGGAAATATGATTTTTCGAGGGTGAGCAAATCTGCATATCTCCCGAGGCAAAGGGAAATGAATGTTTTATTCCACTGCCTGTGCTTTGTTTACTCTCAATACATTAAATATTATTTTGCATACATTTTTTTCTTATCCGCTTGTTTTTGTAAGTCAAACTAAACACGACATACCCATTGACAAACAGTAAGGATCAAAATTTAATTACAAGTCTTTTTGTTTTATCGTCTGAAATAAATTTGAACATGATAATGATTTTTGCTATCGCTATTTTAAGAAGAATAAGAAGTTCAAAACGTTATGTACATTAACCGCGCGTAACGTCGCACGAAGTAATCCCGACATTTCAGAGGGGAATATGATCCTCAGAATGGAATATGAAGATTTGTTCAATGACACGTGGGATAGTCTCAACCAATCAAATATTGATTAAACTATCAATATGTTTAAACAGTGGAATAAAATCATTTGTTATCAGTATAATCTATATTATATTAATATGATGATGGGGTTTTTTGACGATCTTGACTGGTTATAAAGCCCTCGCACGGTCGGCTTATATTAATATGATGAAGGGAGTTTTTAACGACCTTGACTGGCTGTACAGCCCTCGCACGGTCGGTATATTAATATCTGTACAACAGTTATATATATATAGCAGATCATCTCTCGAGATATTCTCCCGCATGCGTTAACACAAATTTTCGGTATTCATGATTTGTTACTGATATATATATTTCTCTCGACAAAACATTTTCATATCATTTATCTATGTTCTAAACAAATATTTTCATGAGTATTCATTGAAGAAATGAATTTATAACAAGCGATAAGGAATGTTATTTTGCACTCGATAATGTCCGCATATTTATACGAAATACGTTCGGTTATCAGTCAAAAGCGCAAGGAAATTTCTGCGGCAACATAACATCGGTATGACCTCTCAATGTCACATCCGATGTAAAAATTACGGCGTTTAACAAGCATATTTTGTTTGTTTTCCTATTCACTGGAGTGACGATGTTATGGGAAGCACGTGCAGTCATGAATGATGTATTTTATTGGAAACGTAATTTGATTTTTAATGCCTTGTGATTGTTGTCAGCCAATCAAAAATAAGGATTCTTATGAAACATACATGCCTTCATTCAAAGATGGGATAAACCCGTTCAACATAGTCGCCAAACTTTGAACTATTTAGTGAGAGAACATCATCTATATAGCAGGATGTGAAGTCAAAAGATACACCAATGTGTCAGGTTATGAAGAGGGTTGAGCACTTACAAACACGTTTTACTCTGTCCATTCTTTATGTGTCCGTCCACAACCAGCAGCCTGTTATTTAGTGTTTGTAGTTGGTTGCTGCATGTCCGTCATATTTGTTTTCTCATTTATTGTTTTAGAATAAGACCAGGGCTTTTGGTTTTTTCCCTTTGAATTATATTTCACATTTTGTCATGCCGATGCCTTTTATATTCACTGTACGGTATAAGTTTTACTCATTGTTGAAGGCCGTATGGTGACCTATAGTTGCTTACATCCATATCATGATATGGCAACCAAATGACACAAAATTTAAGACATCTGGAGGTCAAAATGTGGTCTTTAGCAAACGACAAGCGTCTATATGTATATATATATCGTCTATATAGCGTCCCAGAGGTT